AGAGGAGTGCCCACCACTGGTTTCTGTCTGTGGCAGGTTGAACCTCCGGCAGTGCGGGAGCTGGAACGGCCCACGCTGCTGGACTCGCACATAGCCTCCATAGCTACTCCATTCATGACCTTATTGTGCCAACACGAGGGTGGCCAAGGGCTGAGACTGGCTGAGGATAACTGGAAGAGTCATGCTGTTTGATTAGTTGATTAATGCCTGTTCTATGGGAGATGCTTTCTGCTGGGCATTAACATAGGTTACAAAGATGTTCACACTCCATGCCCACTATCTTGGTCCACTAGTCACATGCCTCTTTCCCACATACCTTCATCCCCAATCTTCCAATGTTTTCTTTTCATGTCCCTGACCAGCTGACCAAGCTATTCACCATTGCCCACAAGCCTCTGTGCATCCTTGCCTTGGGCCATTACTCTTTTTTCACAAAGATGACTTGATGTACTGCCTGATCCTATCCTTAGGAGGATACTTTTCACTGCAATCCCTGAGGGTCCCTTAATTGAGGCTACACTACAGTAACTGTTCATTTTTGTCTCGCACCTACATACCAACTGACCTGTCCCTGAACCAAACAGCCTTTTTCCTCCTGTCAGTTAGTTATAGGAGCCCTCCATGTCATCTGTGGAGGGCTGACTCCAGGATGGCTCCATGATCCCTACCTCCAGGTGTTCACTGTCTTGGGTAATCCCCTTCCCTTCAGTGTAGGCATGTCCTGTGACTTGCTTCTCTCAGTGGAGTATGGCAAAGATGATGGGGTGCACATGAGAAGGTGTACTTGATACACTATATAAGATTGTAACACCCATCTTGCAAGGACACTCCCTGTGCCTGTTTGCTGTGAAGAAGCAAGTGGCCATGTTACAAGCTACCACGTGGAAAGGGACATGTGACAAGGAGCTGAAGGGGGTCTCTGGCTAACAGCCAACAAGAAGCTAAACCCCTCAGTGTGACAGCCTGCAAGGAAGTGGCTTCTGATAATTATCACATGAGGCTGGAAGTGAATCTCTCCCCAGTTGATGCCCAGATAATATCACAGCCTTGATTACAATGCTCAGATAGTATCAATGCCTTGATTACAGCTTTGTGAAAACCCAAGGAAAAGGACCCATCTAAGTTATGCCCCAAGTGCTGACCCACAAAAACTGAAATAATAAATATGTGTTGTTTTAAGCTGCTAAATTTGTAGTAATATTGTTATGCAGCAGTAGAAAACTAATACAAAGCCAGAAATGTCAGCTGAGAGAGGCACTGGTACAGAATGGTAGGCGACATGGGAGCTTGGGCCACTTGCTCATGCAGGTCCCTGTGCATTGCTGTTCCCAGGGTTACCACTTCCATTTTGTGATGGAATGCTGCTGGTTCCTCCCAACCTTGGTGAATTTGACAGAACCCAGCTCCTGGTGGGTAATGCTGGACATCTGGTCACTTAATGTCCCCTAGTTCGATGCTTAATCTATTCACCAGGGCTCAGTAGCACATGGGGATCTCTTTTCCAAATGATTCTCTGCTGCAGATGGCATAGATCTGCATCAAGACCCCAGGGCTTTATGTTGTGCTGCTACTCTTTTCCACATGGCATCTTTTCTCACCACAGATAACTCTAATACCAGAGAGTCTACCTGGTTGTACTGCCCACTGATTGCACTGCCCAAGTAGCAGTGATGCTTGCACGTCAGCCTGGATCTGCTGGCAGTTTTCCTTGTCACTAAGTAGTAAGTGAGAGCAGTACTTCTAAATATGGAATATGCTGCCTCCAGAAACCAAAAGGACTGCCAGGCATTGTGCTTTCTTCTTAGTTGTGTGAGATAATAATTTGTCCTAATTTGGTGGGAATGGGAAAATACGTCCCAGCTTACACCAAACCACTGGATCCCTAAGAACTTCCCTGATGTGATGGTCCCCTGAATCACCATTTAGCCTCTTTCCTGTCCTCTGGCTTGCATGGTCTTACCCAGTCCTCCAGTATATTTGCCACTTCTTGCTCACCTGATCATTAATATAATACATGAATGTGTTTTTTTGCAGAATGTCCAGATGGTCCAGGTCCTTAAGACTATATTCTAGGAAAGGGCAGATTTAACATAGCTCAAAGGCAACATTGTGAATGTATACTTGTCCTGTCCCATGTGAATGTGAACTACACTGATCATCCTTCCTAATGAGGATTGAAAAGAATACATTTATGAGATTGATGGCCGTATACTCTGTGTCCAAAGCCATTTTAATGTGATCTAGCAAAGATACCATATCTGGCTCATAGCTGCAGTTGGGAGGCTACTACTTGGTTGAGTTCATGGTAACCCACTGTTATCCTCCAGGATACACTTAGTGTTTGTAGGGGACATACTGTGTTAATGGAATGGGCCTATGATGAGGACCAGCATTCCTGCCTACTTCAGCTGTTTCAGGGTAGCACTAATATCTGCCATATCCCTTCATATGGTATTGTTTTTGATTTACTGTCTTGGCTGGGAAGGGTAGAATGGTTTCAGGTGGATTCAACTTGGCATTCTCCACTATGATAGCCCTTATCCCACAGGCCAAGGAACCAATGTGGGTTCTGCCAATACCTAAGCATGCCCATTCCATTATTCCTTTGGGAACGAGGGAAATTACCAGCAGATGAGCGTGTGGAGTAGGTGAACCTACCATGAGCCAGACCTGAGTCAGAACTCCATTTATCCTATCCTTTATCCACCCCACTCCCAAGAGGGGAGTTACGAAGATGCTTTGGGCCCCTAGATATCTCAACTCAGACCATGTATCCAACTCAGACCATGTATCCTTGAAAGGTTTTGTATTCCTCTTCCTTCAGTGTATAGTTATATGAGTAAAAGTCTTTGGAGAAGGACTAAGGAAAACATTACCTCTTTTTTTTTTTTTTTTTTGCCATGGTGTTTGCAGGGTTCTTTTTTGTGAGCTTCTCTGTCAGTCAATGGGATTTGGGTTGGAAACCAGTTCAGGTCTGGAAACAGAGAGTGATCAAGACTTTTTATTGTCGTGGCAGGTCAGCCTCCTGATCATCCATCTTGGATTTATTTTGGTTCTGTAGATTGAGCAATACTGTCATTTGCTGTTCATCTATCATGTCTCTCAGGATGCTATGCTGTATTAATCACCTCCCTAGCTCTCTGTAAGTCAGACCTCTCTGACTGCCTCTGACATTGCCATTCATGATAACAATTATACCTGGCTTACTTTTGAGAGTTAAGTATTGCCGTCTGGCTTCTGTTTTGGAATTCTGTTGTCCCCATCAAAAAACCCTGCTCCATCCTAACATCTCCTACCAGTGGCCTTGGCCTATGGAGGGCAGCCCTCCACTGCTTCTTAACAATACTGGAGCCCCCCTCATTAGCACATCCCTTGTCACTTCGGACAAGAACACCGTATCCTAAGAACAGAGGAGGCTAGTAGCTTTTTGGCCTTATGTAGTATATCCCAGTCAAGTGTCTGATTTCTTCCCCCAGTGCTTGCCACTGCAGGGCATTTCTACTTAGTGTGGGTCACTGCTTTCTCCAAGTTTCCAAGGGACAACCAAATACTATCACCTGAACGCTTTGCCAGGATATTATATCCCACATCACAGGTTTTTCTCCCTTTTCCATCCAGCACAGTACCATATATGCTCTCCTACTTGTCAGTCAGTTTGTGTTAACCAGTCCTGCAGCTCCTTCAGCATGTAGTCCTTTTCTACCACTAGCCAGCCCAGCGTTTCTTCGTCCTCACTATAGCTCTGGTGGTCGGGAGTGGAGAGTGGGGTACACCGTTGAGGGGTAAGGAGATGTATGTGTTGTGTTAGAAGGCAGAAACCTCTGCATCATCAAGCTTATACAGATATCCACAAGAGAAAAGCATCAGCCTTTAACAGGGAAGAATGGGCTACTTCTGTTATCAACAGCATTTAAAGAAGTATGGAAATTTAAGATTTTCAAATGCATCAACCCAGATGACCCTATTTCAAGTCTCAGCATCCCATTTTTTTTCCAATGAGGACCTTGACCTTGGTGTCATAAGCTTTGTTAAAAGAGAAATGAATAAACATGTAAAATTAACAATGAATATCATGCTGAGATTATACCAAACAAAATTTATAGCCATTCATTTGGAGAAGACCCAGCTCACCCTTATGGGCTAGGGGAAAGGCGTGCAGCAAAGGCAGCATTTATTAGTATTTTTTAAGATTTTATTTATTTATTTGACAGAGAGAGAGAGCACAAGCGGGGGGGGGGGCGACAGGCAGAGGGAGAGGGAGAAGTAGGCTCCCCGCTGAGCAAGAAGCCCCATGCAGGGGCTCCATCCCAGGACCCCGGGATCATGACCAGAGCGAAGACAGACGCCCCAGCAAAGGTAGCATTTAAAAAGGGTCAGATTTCAGTTAGATTTAAGAAAATTTCAGAACTAAGATAAGAAATGGGTAAAGATAAAAAGGGAGTCCTCAGACTTGCCTGGAGCCCACAGGGCATGTATCATGGTGGGGTTAAACATTATTATCAGTCTTTTAATTTGTCTTGAGTGGTCTGCACCACCAGATTTCTGGGCAGAGTTCTGGAATATGACTATTATCCGCATGCCGAGGTGCTCCCTCTCACCAACGGCCAGTTAGTAATAGAGGTATAAGCCATATGCGTTCAAAAGGGCAAAGACATCGTCTTTAGACATCTCTAGCTTTAAAGCACAGTTTGCCATGCGACGACGAAGCTGGAGGAAGAGGACAGGATAATCAGGGTGCCCTCTTCTGGCGAGGGGCCGACTCCACCCTCTCCATTCCCCATCTTTCTTTGGGGTGAAGCAGGTTTTTAGCCGAACTGTGTCGCCGCAGAAAAGTCTGTGAGACGCCCCAGGGCCACCAATGACGTCCACAGTACGGTACAGGGTCTGCACACTCGTGCCTAAAAAGAGAGCCAGCCTCCTGAAGCCCTCCGGGGACAGCGGGTACAGAAGAAGACCACGCCCCTCCCCACGTATGGAAGCAGCCGCAGACCCCTCCCCGCCCACGTTCGCTGAGCATGCCGGGTCCATCGCCCCAGCCGCTCCTCCGCGTCTGTCCCGCTCAATCTTCCTTGTCCCGCGGCCTCCAGTCGGAGGAATGCACGACAATAGGTGGAACTCTATTTACACCTCCTTAGTCATTCTCGTTCCAGTCGGGGTGTCCCTAAAGCCCGTCTCACCTGTGCAAATAAAACGGCGCACGAGTTAGCGGCTCCGTGGACCAGGAGAGCGCGCGACAAGCCGGAAGTGACGCGCGCCGTGCCCGCGTATTCCCGCCCTGCCCTTCGCCTGCCGGTCGGTGGCGGGAACTGGGGCGACCGTGCTGACGGCGGTGAGTGTAAGTGTCACCCGGTGTGGCGGCTCGGGGCTTCCTAGGCCTGATAGTCTCACACCTGGGAACGGAGCTAGGACTTTGCGACCATCTCGCCCTTTCCCTATCCCGGAAGCCCCGGGGACGAGCCGGTGGCGTCCACCCTCCGGAGACGAGAGGCTGAAAGGCCCAGGCAGTGCCCGGGAGTACGGGGAGCTGGGGATAACAGGTGACCAGCCCGAGAAATTGTGAGGGTAGCCTTTGTTTTCCTCAGCTCCTGCGCCCTTAATGCCCCTGCTATGTCTTCCCCTTCCGCACTGGTTCGCGCAGTGGTAGCTCCGTACAGCATCTTTCAGAGCCCTGCTTTGAGCTGTAGTACTGTTTAGTAATTACTGCATCTGGCAGGGATGGAGTAATCCAGTAACGTTAAAAAGCTTGGCTGTTTACAGTTATTAGCAATTTATTTACTGAGTATCCAAATGCCAAGCACAGAAGTACGTGTACACAGAAGTATGATTTTTCTCTGGGTTCTTTTTTTTTTTTAATTAAAGTGAGGTCTAATTGACATACAGTATTAGTTTCAGGTGTACAACAGTGATTAGACGTTTGTGAAATTATTGAGTATATACCCTATGCTGTACATTACATCCCATGACTTATTTATTTTATAACTGGAAGTTTGTACTTCTTAACCCCCTTCCTCCTTTTTGCCTCCTCCCTTCTGACAAGCACTAGTCTGTTCCATGTATCTATGAGTCTGGGTTTTTGTTTGCTTTGTTTTTTAGATTCCACATGTAAGTGAAATCATGCAGTGTTTGTCTTTCTGACTTGCCTATATTAGTATAATACTTGCAAGGTCCATCCATGTTGCCACAAGTGGCAAGATTTTATTCTTTTTTATGGCTGAGTAACATTACATGTGTGTATCACATCTTTATCCATTCATCCACTGATGAACACTTAGGTTGTTTCCATAACTTGGCTGTTGTAAACAGTGCTGCATTGAACATAGGGGTGCATATATCTTTTTGAATTAGTGATTTTAGGTTGTTGGTTTGTTTTTTTTTTCCCAGATAGATACCCAATACTGGAATTGCTGGACCATAGAGTAGCTCTATTTTTAGTATTTTGAGGAAACTCCATTTTGAGGAAACTGTTTATCATACTGTCTGCATCAGTTTACATTCCCACCAACAGAGCATGTGGGCTTTCACAATTCTTTTATTTAACTTTTATTTATTTATTCTTTTATTAACTGCCTTACTGAATAGGCCTTAACTCCTTTTATAGCAGGGGAAGTGAGTCTTATAAATGGTAATTCAGTCACCAAATATTATGGAACATCTGTCATGCACCAGTTACTGCTTTAGGCACTGGGGAAAAGCAGTGAAAAAAGTAGAATTGCCACTGATGCTGGGGATTTTCAGGCAAGCTAATGATGCTTTTCTATCCTTAAAACAGCCTTCTGCTGCCTAGAAGAAAGTTTACCTGAACGTTAATAGTCGTTACCTTCTGGGTAAGATTTTGTATGACTTTTTAAAACAACTCATACTTTTCTGCTTTGTTTTGGTTTCTTCAGATGAGCATGTTATTAGCAAAAGAGCAGTTTCCATTTTAACAACACAGTCCCCGGCCCAACCCTCCACACAAAATAGGCTCTGAAGGCAGTCATTGGCTCTACCAGTAAAACAGGCCCTTGAATGGAGCTCTAGGCCCAGGAAAAGAAATGAAAGTTCTCATATGTGGTCCCAGCACTCCTCATTGCTAAGTCCATTCCAGGGTCTGAGCTAGAGCTAGGTCCATGACTGGAATGGAAGAGACTGTAGATGCCCATGCACAGTTTGGCCACTAATGACATCATATTTGTCAAAAAGTGAGGAACTCTTAAAATTTTTTCAGTCATAAGATTTATCTTTGATCTGTAACTCTCACTATAAATAGATTCTAAGTTCCTTAAGCACTTTGGCCTCTTTAATTGCCCCTGTAGCTCTCAGTACAATACATTTAGGGGCTGCTAGGTCGTGAGGTGATGTCCTTTATTTAGTAAGTAATTATTGGAGTATTTTGCACAAGGTTAAGTGTGCTAGGTGTGCTTTCCCACTTTCTCGTAATGATTTCAAAAGAACTTTCCTGTTTTGCATCTGGTCAGGGTGAAGTAACGATGCAGGCTTTTCTAAAAGGCACATCTGTCAGTACTAAACCGTCACTGAAGGATCGAGGAGTAGCTGCCACAGCTGGAAGCAGTGGAGAGAACAAGAAAACCAAACCTGTTCCATGGGTGGAAAAATAGTAAGAATGCTTATATTTTTCTTGACGTAGTTAATAAATTACTTCTCTAACCAGTTTTAGTCACTTTTTTGTTGTTGTTGTTACTTAAGAGGGGGATGATTTGCTTTGTTTAGATGTCCTTGAAAATTGCCCAAATATGTAAGTCCTAGAACTTTGCAACCGAAGGTACCTTCAGATGATCTAGTTTAATTGCTTTGTAGATGAACTAAGGTCTTTCCTATAACTCAGGTCTATGGTTTTAGGGATTGAGATACAGCAAGAGAAAACAATTTCTAGAATGTGGCCATAAGCTCTTGGTCAGGAGTTCTACATAAATCCAAATAATCTGTTCCCGAACCTTTCATTACAGATAGGTGGAAATCGTTGAGTTTTTGCTTATACGTTTTTGGCAAAAACAACACTTGAAGTGGCACTTCAATTTCAATCAGCTAAGTGATACTATGACAAGTAGTTGTAACCCCTGGTGTAGGCTCAATTATTATCAAAAGTTTGCGGATTACTTACAGGTCAAATAAGACCCTCATATGTTTAGTTTGGCACTAACAGTGATTTTTTTTTTGAAGATTTTATTTATTTATTTGACAGAGAGAGACACATTGAGAGAGGAGCACAGGCAGGGGGAGTGGAGGGGGGAGAGGCAGGCTTCCCGCTGAGCGGGGAGAGGCAGGCTTCCCGCTGAGCGGGGAGAGGCAGGCTTCCCGCTGAGCGGGGAGCCCGATGCGGGGCTCGATCCCAGGACCCTGGGACCATGACCTGAGCCGAAGGCAGACGCTTAACGACTGAGCCACCCAGGCGCCCCTGGCACTAACAGTGATTTTTAAAATGGGAAATTTCACATAAAAATCTGGATTTTTAATTAAAAAAATAAATTATACAAAGGGAAAAAAAATCTAGCTTTTCAGCTTCTCAAGAGATTAGGCAGAACTAGATGCAGGTTCTCATTTGACAATAGTTAGTTGGACTTGAGTACTGCTTCTCATTCTGGAAAGGTCATATGTACCTCAGTTCACCGTAGTTCCTTCTGTTTTCTCTTGCCTTATACTCTGCCTTCTTTTACTCTTGTTTCCTCCCTGGCCCCAGGTATTTGAATATGAAACTCTAGCTTATAACTTATGCTGGTTTCCCTAGAAAACATTATCTGACCTAAAATTCCTACCTGGCATTGACCTTATTAATTAGAAATGTATAAATCAAAGAAGGGCTAGCTAATTAAGCACAATGCCTAATCTTAGGGTTAGGAGTATAACTTTGTTCCAGCTTCTCTTAAAATCACCAGTTAATGATGTAGGATGAAAATTATATGTTATTATACTTCATCTTGGTTAAATTTGTTAGTTAGCTCTCAATCAAGTGACTGGTTAGGCGTTTTTTGTGCAGTTAGGTGATGGATGAAATTGGTATTAGTCAATTAACTATATTAACCAAAATAGTTGTCTGTCCTGAGGTTATTAAATAGTTCTTCCTTTTCAGCTTAAGTGCATGATCTTGTCAAAATATATTACTTGGTAGGCAAGTGTTCACTTTAAATTTTTAACCAGTTGACATTTGTGGTGTAATAAGATCTTTTTGCTTAATTTTTGTAAGCATTATAGATGTAAACTGCATCTATAAAGGGAAAAATGACTTCACTCCTTCAGTATGTATTAGCTTAAGGTAAATACAAGTGAGGTTTCCACCTACTTCCAGTTATGAAAGTTTCCCATTTTATTACCAATATTTGAGTATTATCATTGATATTTTAGCAAAAGGAACACTTAAGACATTTCTCTGGCTACTGTAATATACTAAATAATCTCTTTGGGTTCTTTTCCAGTCGCCCAAAATGTGTGGATGAAGTTGCTTTCCAGGAAGAAGTAGTTGCAGTGCTGAAAAAGTCTTTAGAAGGTGCTGATGTGAGTAGCAGATGATATTTCATGTCATTGGGAGATTTAAGATTTAAATTTTTTTTTAATTAAGATTTAATTGTTTTCATTCTTTTCCTCCTGCCCCCCTTAAATACTAGCTGTATATTAGTTCAAATATTTATTGAGCATCTCCTATCTTATGGCATTGTTACATAGTACTTAAGTAGAGACCACTGAACAAGACATACTGGGTCCCTTTCCTCGTGAGCTTTGATTTTGGTGGGGAGACACAGAGAATAATCATGGAAGCCAAATAAATAAGAGAATAATAGATAATAATATGCACTATAAAGAAGAGTCAGAGATTCTTTGAAAGTATAATTGCTCACCTAATGTTAGGATTTGGTTTGAACTACAATACAAAAAATGAGTATTTAATTCTGCTTATAGCATTGTGTCTTCTGTCCATATGTGGGATAAAAAAAATTCTTCAATGACTTGCATTTTAGATGATTCAGAGACAAGATAACCCCATAAGAATTAGCAGTTTAAAATTGTGTATGATGAAGTGCTTTAAGAGCTCAGTGAAAGAAGGGGAAAAGTTGCAGATGAAAGTGGGGTGTGGTTTTTGCTTTATTCCCCAGGAAGATTTGCTTCCTTCCTTTCAACCTGGCTACTTTGAATTAGAGTTTCTTTTGGCTTTTGCTGCCATTATTCACTTCCTGGAATTACACTATAATAGTATATATTTTGAAAGAAGTTATATTTATCAAACTATTTAAAATCTTTTTCTCTGCCAATTTTTGTTTTGATTTCATCCAAATACCTTTACCTTTTAATTTTATAATACACAGTTTTAATTGTATAGTAATAATTACACAGATTGCAGGACAAGATATATTTTAATTGGCCATATTCTCAACCCTTGAGGCAAATGTAGTGGGAATATGACCCAGTTCTTGACTTTATACCACCTATCTTACAAGGCTGAATTAGGAACTTCCTCTTTTAAAACACTTATTTAATATCTTATGTTTCTTTTCAGACTAAGTTTTGTAAAACTTAAAGATGAAGGAATTTTTTAAATTCTACAGAGTAAAGAAAAATAATTCATTCTTTCATTTACTTTGGTATATGTGCTGCCAAAGCGAGCACTCCTTCATTTACATTAAAAGATTTTAAAGTAGAATTACAGGTTTTAAAGTAGAATTACAATAGATGATTTTCAGAAATCAGTTTTAAGAACTAATATTCTGCATACAGTTCTTGTGTACACCATATATATCACTGTTATATAATGTAAGGTTTAATAATTTTACCGTGTTTTAAGGAAGTTAAGTTATTGTATGTGATAGTTACATGGATGAATTATTACAAATATTGAGGTATGCATGGATCAAAATAATAGTTAAAGATGAAAAAACCTAGGAATTTTAATATAATTCACATACCCAAATTGACTAGCCCAAAGCTACCAGAAGGAAGGAAATAATAAAGATTAGAGTAGAAATAAGTGAAATAGAGACTAAGAAGAAATAATAGAAAAGATCAGTGAAACCAAGAGCTGCTTCTTTGAGGGGCGCCCGGGTGGCTTAGTTGGTTAAGCTCAGTTGGTTAACTGTCTGCCTTCAGCTCAGGTCATGATCTCTGGGTCCTGGGATCGAGCTTCACATCGGGCTCCGCATCGGGCTCCTGGCTCAGCGGGGAGCCTGCTTCTCCTCCTCCCCACCTCCCTGCTCATGCTCTCTCTCGCTCGCTCTCTCAAATAAATAAAATATTTAAAAAAAAAGCTGGTTCTTTGAAAAGATAAACAAAATTGATAGACCTTTAGCCCCACTTCTCAAGAAAAAGAGAGGACTCAAAATCAGAAATGAAGGAAGAGAAATAGCAAATGACACCACAGAAATACAAAGAATTATAAGAGAATATTATGGAAAAGCATATACCAACAAATTGGACAACCTAGAAGAAATGGATAAATATTCCTAGAAACTTACAATCTTTCAAAACTGAATCAGGAAGAAACAGAAAATTTGAATAGACCGATTACTAGTAATGAAATTGAATCGGTAATCAAAAAATTCCCAGCAGACAAAAGCCCAGGACCAGATGGCTTCACAAGTGAATTCAACTAAACATTTGAAGAAGAGTTAATACCTATTCTTCTCAAGCTATTCCAAAAAATAGAAGAGGAAGGAAAACTTCCAAATTCATTCCATGAGGACAACATTACCTTGATACCAAAACCAGTCAAAAAGCTTAGGAGGTTCTTTGGTGTTTGTTTTTAAGTAGCAAAACTCATAGCCTATATCTTAAGCTGTATGCTACCAATGTAATAGTCTTCAGTTAATATATTTATCTGTACATTGGCTTATTGTACACATGTTGAGTACTATACAAGATGCTGAGAATACAGATATGAATAAATAAGGTTCTTTTTTTTTAAGATTTTTTATTTTATTTTATTTTATTTATTTATTTGAGAGAGAGAGAATGAGAGAGAACACATGAGAGGGGGTAGGGTCAGAGGGCAAAGCAGACTTCCTGCCGAGCAGGGAGCCCGATGCGGGACTCGATCCAGGGACTCCAGGATCATGCCCTGAGCCGAAGGCAGTCGCTTGACCAACTGAGCCACCCAGGCACCCAATAAATAAGGTTCTTGACCTTAAGCTTACCATCTAGTGAGGTAGACATATTTTACAATTAAACCAAAACACTAAATAAAGAACAATGATTGTAAATTGTTGTATATAAATAATTGCAAGTTGAATTAAGTGCAACAAAGAGAGAGTAACAGAGGAGTTCCACTTTAGATTGGGTGGTCAGGGAAGGCTTCTGACTTGTAATGTAGTAGAAGTTGGCGAAGCAGGAAAAAAGCAGTCAGACCCTAGCTGGGGGACGGGATAGGCCGTAAGTGCTTAGTTGTTGGAATTCATTGTAAATTGGAGCCTGGAAAGGTGAGCAGATCATGGACGTTCATAAATACAGGTTGGTTTTTGTTCGTCTGGTTTTGTTTTTCTAGGTGGAGTATGAAGCCAGTGAATAGTTTTAAGTAGCAAGCAGAGGGGCATCTGATTTGGGTGAAGAATGGATGGGAAGGTTGAGGGTTAGGCAAGAATGGAAGCAAATAAAAGTGCTTCCTAGTTTCCCATGTGCAGTGATTTCTGTACGTGAAAGGACATACTGAAGAGTGCGGTTTTATGACAGAGCTCATTAGAATTTAGTACATTTATCAATCTGTACCACAGATTAGTTGCCTGCTTGATAGGAGCCAAGCCAGTCAGATTTAAGGTATAAAAGAAGATAGTGATTTAGTCTTACCCATTCTTCCTCTAATTAATTCTCCCTGATAATATGTGGGCATCCCTACAGGGTATATAATCATGGAGTAGAGTACTGCCAGGCACGTAGTAAACTTTTTTTCCCACCACTACTCTAGGAACATCAGCTCATCCAGAGCCCTGATAAGTCTTTTTCATTCCTTTTCCCTCTGTATTAGCCAAATTGAAGGTCTCATTTGGTCTGTTTCCCCCTTGAAGCAATGGACATCTTTATAAAATACAAAATCTTTCTTACAAAATATAAAATCTTGCCCAATCCTGAGCAGAGGGGTGGGATAGGGAACTGACAGAAGCCTGAGATTCCCTTCAGAAAAAAGAGGTTTCGAGGCGCCTGGCTGGTTTAATCGGTGGAACTTTGCACTCTTGATCTCAGGGTTATGAGTTCAAGCCCCATGTTGGGTATAGAGATTACTTAAAAATAAAATCTTTTTAAAAAAGAAAGAAAGAAAGGTATCTAATTCCTGCTTTGAAAACTCACCTAAGTATATTGGGTATAAAACAGTCATAAATATTGATTCAGCTTAAGATATTAGACATTTTGGGGGAAAGTATAGTATTATGTGAAAAAGCAGGATTCACAACTACTAATAGTGTGATACTGGTTATATTAAGAAATATTTGTATTCAGATATGTGCCCTATTAAGGAAGTTGTTGCACTGTTCCATAGACATTTTCAGTCATCATTTTCATCTATTTGTACCAGAATACAACTTTTAAAAAACAAAATTTAACTTCTACAGCTCCCTAATCTCTTGTTTTATGGGCCACCTGGAACTGGAAAAACATCCACCATTTTGGCAGCAGCTAGGGAGCTTTTTGGGTAAGTTGAAATCTCTCTTTTTTTTAAAGACTTGACACCAAAAATCTCTGCTTTTCTTTAACTAAAAATTTGTATTTGGTTTCTTTGTAAGGTTATTATTTCTGTATTTTTTATTAATTCAGTGGGCCCGTTTCCAGTTCCTCCCCTCCAATAAATAAGCTTGCCTACATCTTTTGTAATCTTCATTCTGAACCTTATTCAAATATTTGATGTACTACAACATAGGAAGCCTTATGATTTTTGTCATCACTAACTTTTTCATTTTGATTTTGGAGCCCAAAGGACCCATCCTATCTTTATTCATGCCAATACTTTCATTACTCTCTTAATGGTGGTTGTGTTCACACATCTGTGTCCTTGCGTGATAGGATCTGCTGTGTCTCATGCTAATGACCCCACACCACTCCTTCTAGAGTTCTTTCTTGCTCTGGCCTTTCCAGGCCCTGCCTCTGGAGTGGCTAGGCCAACTCCTTGACCTCAAGTATCTTGTGTGTGAGCAGAGTATGTAGTAGTTGATGCAGAATTCCAGGTACACCAGAAGACCTCTGTGAGCCACTTTCTTAGATTCTTCTTCCAGGATTGACTGTCTTGGCTTATCAACCATTGTAGAGGAGCCTTTTACCTAGAGTTAAAAGATATATATCAGCCCAGGTATGATATCCCTAAAACATGCACCAATAGCAAAGTCTGTCTTAATCACTTCTCGGCCTTTTGGCTAAGATCAAGTGTACCAAAGGCTATCTTGAATTTATCCAGAACTTTTATATCAGGCATATATATGGTGAAAGGGTACATCTGAAATCCCACATGTGAAGATATTCAGATACCTCTGAAACCACCAAATATGTACAGATAATTAGTTATGTTGAAATGTGAAGCAAAAAGGGAAGGTGCTGTGAACCTAATATTTTATTTGACAGCAATTTTTGTTTCTCAAGGAAATTATAAAAGAGCTTTTTTGATTATTCCACAACTCAGATCCAACCTGATGAACGAGCCTTAGCAATGTAGTCATAATGAAACCCAAGTAGTTTATTAATAGTTTTTTGAGAGGAGGTCAGTCCAAATTATATAATTTTTAAAATATCCTGTTAAAAATAATGTTTGTCCTTTAGAACGAAATTTAATTATGAATTACACATTTCATAGTATATGTGGTTTTAAAATGGAAAATATATGCACAGAGCTTTATGAATGTGCCCATAGAAAAATGCTTAGAAGGTTATCATACTGTTTAGGAAAACTAAAGACAAAACTAAGTCCCAGTTCTTATTTTTTTAATTAAAAAATAAATACGTGTATAGTAAAGTAGAGGAAAGTTTTCAAAAACAAAGACTTGGCAGGGTGTGCCAGTTATTTTAATTTTCTTTTGATTTCTCAGATGACCCTATGGTGAGCTATTTTTAATAATTTTTTTTTAAACTCAAAAAAAACCTGTTCATGTTTTAATCCAGTAATAGTCCTTATAGCAAGCTACCTTATGGAAATAATTGAAAATATGCTGTGTTGCAGCATTATTTAAAATTGTACCATATCGGGTGCCTGGGTGGCTCAGTTGGTTAAGCGACTGCCTTCGGCTCAGGTCATGATCCTGGAGTCCCGGGATCGACTCCCGTATCGGGCTCCCTGCTCGGCAGGGAGTCTGCTTCTCCCTCTGACCCTCCCCCCTCTCATGTGCTTGCTCTCTCTCAAATAAATAAATAAATAAATAAATAATCTTTGAAAAAAAAAATAAAATTGTACCATATTTAAAACTATTTAAATATCTAACAATAGAATAAATTAAGTAAATGATGGTACAATCATAGGATAGAATGTCATATAGTTATTAAAATGGTATTTACAGTGGTTCTGATGACATGGCAAGATGTTTATGATACAATCTTAAGTGGAAAGTTGATTTAAAATTTTATTAATTATATGATACCATCTACCTGTTTTTTAAACTGCATGTCTCTACAAAATAAAAAATACAAAAGTGATTGCATGCCTTCTATCTAGTACTTACTAGGTGGATTTTAAACTACTACAGAATGTGCAATTGTTAAAATGTGGTTTAAACCTCAGTTACTTATATGCTCTGTTATTTTTCATACTTGTTTCATTTTGACATAGGCCTGAACTTTTTCGATTAAGAGTTCTTGAGTTAAATGCATCCGATGAACGTGGAATACAAGTAGTTAGAGAAAAAGTGAAGAATTTTGCTCAATTAACTGTGTCAGGAAGTCGTTCAGAGTAAGTAAAGCTCACTTTTCCTTCTTCATACCATGTCATTGCATTTGTTTAAAATACGTTTCTGCCAAATGTCCAACTCCTTTTTCATGTTAGATCGTATATTTTTTTATTTTATTTTTTTAAGGAATCTCTACAAGCAACATGGGGCTCGAACTTACAACCCCAAGATTAAGAGTTGCTTGCTCTACTGACTGAGCCAGCCAGGTGTCCCTTTATCTAAATTATTTAAACCCAGAAATGACCTTTCCATTATAATACCTAATTTTAAATTGTTTAGCTGTCAAGGGTTTTGAACTTATGTTTTGTCTAAGGAGTATTTATTAATCAACTTTGGTAGTTTGGTGGTACACCTGATTTTTGTTATTGTGTTATAAAAAAAGTTCTGTCAGATATCTTAAGCTTCAGTGTATATTTCCTAATTAGGGTGACCATATAAGTTATTGTCCAAACTGAGACACTTTTAGAGTAAAAGGAAGTATTATTAATAATTTAAATAGGACTGCTCTGAGTTAAACAAGGATGTTTAGTCAGCTACTTATAATCCTTATGTGGCACAGTTCTAAGATTAAATTTTTTGGAACCTGGTATATATTTAAATTCATATCAGAGCACACTTAAGAATTTGTAGAAAGTGAATGACTTATTTTTGATATCTACCTTGGATTGACAATGCATATAAATCCTATATTTGATAAGGGACTTCGATCAAGAATATATAAAGAACTCGTACATTTTGGTAATCAAGAGAAAACCCAATTTAAAAGGCAAAGGAACTGATAGACCTTACACCAAAGAAGATACAGTAGTCCCCCTTTATCTGTGGCTTCAGTCAGTTTCCATGGTTTCACTTGCCTACACTCAGCTGAAGTCCAGAGCAAATGATTCACCTTCTGACATAATCATCATCAGGTCATTAGTAAGTAACCTAGCATCACAGTGCCTATGTCATACTTCACTTTGTCTCATCACATAGGCATTTTACCATCTCACATCACAAGAAGGGGGAGTACAGTCCAATAAGATATTCTCAGAGAGACCACAGTTGCATAATTTCTATTACACTATATTGTTAAAATTGTTTTCTTTCATTATTATATTGTTAATGATGTTGTTATTGTTAATGATGTTGTTATTGTTAATCTCTTACTGTGCCTGATTTATAAATCGAACTTTTTCATAGGTATGTGTGTATAGGAAAAACATGGCATATATATATTTATATACTGTTTGATACTATCCAGGGCTTCAGGCATTTGCTGGGGTCTTAGAACACATTCCCTGTGGGGCGCCTGGGTGGCTCAGTTGGTTAAGCGACTGCCTTCGGCTCAGGTCATGATCCTGGAGTCCCGGGATCGAGTCCCGCATCGGGCTCCCCGCTCGGCAGGGAGTCTGCTTCTCCCTCTGGCCTTCCTCCCTCTCATGCTCTCTGTCTCTCATTCTCTCTCTCTCAAATAAATAAATAAAATCTTTAAAAAAAACACATTCCCTGTGGATAAGGGGGGACTACTATACAAAAGGCCCATAAAGACATGAAAACATGCTCATCAACATCATTAGCCATAGAGAAATGCAAATCAAAACCATGATGAGATACCACTTAATGCATACTAGGGTAGCTCTTAGCAAAAAGACAACATATTGGCAAGAATGTGGAGAAATTGGAACGCTTACACTTCACTGGTTGGAATGTAAAATGGTACAGACATTTTGAAAATAGTTTGGCAGGTCATCTAAAAATTAAACATAGAGTTACCAGATAACCCAGTAATTCCAATCCTAGGTGTATACTCACAAGAAACGAAAAAATAGGTCTATTCAAAACATGTTAAAAAATGTTCGTTAGCAGTATTAGTCATAGTAGTCAAAACGTGGGAACAACCCAACTCTCCATCAACCTATGAAGGAACGAATAAAATGTGGTATATCCCTTTGCCGTATTATTTGTAGTGGAGAGTAATGACATGAAGTAATGACATACTACAACATGGATGAACCTTGAAAGCATGCTAAGTGAAAGAAACCAATCACAAAAGACAATGTATTAATCCATTTATATGAAATGTGCAGAATAGGCAGATCTGTAGAGACAGAAAGTAGAGATCCATGATTGCCTACCGCTGGGAGAACTGGAAGGCGTGATGGGCATGGGGTTTCTTTTTGGGATGAGAGTGTTCTAAAATTAGATTTTGGTGACAATATATGAATTATAACTCCTGTTTTCTGAATCAGTGGGAAGCCATGTCCTCCTTTTAAGATTGTGATTCTGGATGAGGCAGATTCTATGACCTCAGCTGCTCAGGCAGCTTTACGACGTACCATGGAGAAGGAGTCTAAAACCACACGATTCTGTCTCATCTGTAACTATGTCAGTCGGTATGTATATTGCCCTGAAGATAGATGGTAGGCAGCCTTGTTCTGATAACTCCAGTTAGGGAGAGAAAAAAATGTAAATGTTTCAAGGCTACAGTAATTTCTCCTCCATCAAGTCTTGATTTGTTCTTGATAAAAATGAGTTCTTTGGGGGAAAATCTTTAGATACTCACTTTTTTTTTTCCCCGATATTTTACAGAATAATTGAACCTCTGACGTCTAGATGTTCTAAATTCCGATTCAAACCACTGTCAGATAAAATTCAACAGCAGCGATTACTAGACATTGCTGATAAAGAACATGTCAGAATTAGCAATGAGGTAATTACTAATTATTACAAATATTGTTGTTACGAATTCCTTTGATGATTCATAAGAGGTCCCAGAAGCATCAGATGTGGTGCTTTAATTTCTGATGCCTTCAGGCAAAGTTAAGCTAAAAGAGCAACATTTGGAATGTCTAGGAATTACAGGTTCAGCCTTCTTGTTACTATTATAAGTTTATTATCAATATTTCAGAGAGCCAGAACTGGGGCAGATTTCATACACATAATGCAAATTCTCCGATAACAAATCTCTGCATAAAAAGATTTTAGTGTCCTAGCTAATATTTCACTTGAGGAGTGAATTTTGTGATGAAATTTTGGTGATGAAAGAGGGTATGTAGGCCTTACTCATTTTAACAGAATTTAACCGTAATTGAATCGTCTTTAGGTATTCAAGAAAATAGGATTAGAAATACGGAACATTTGTCTCTGCAAATTTCTTTCAAAGACAAGAGATCTCTAGCCTTCCACTGGACTGATGCTATCTCCATGAATTTTGTCATTCCCTTAAAACCGAAAATGTTTTATTTTTCTCCAACTAACTCTCGGCTAAAACAGCATTTTTTCACTTTTCTTTATTAAAGTCAAAGTCTTAATTGGCCATCATAGGTTAAAAAAATTTTTTTCTCTTTTCAGGGAATAGCTTGTCTTGTTAAAGTGTCAGAAGGAGATTTAAGAAAAGCCATTACATTTCTTCAAAGTGCTACCCGATTAACAGGTGGAAAGGAGATCACAGAGAAGGTGATCACAGACATTGCTGGGGTAAGAATATGAGATAATTTAAAAAATTTTGGTTGGGCTTGGGGCTCTTAGAAAATTTTCATCTAACAAATGTATTCAGAATGCTTATTATGTGCTGGTTTAATCCATTCAGGCAGCTTTAACAAAATACTGTAAGCTGAGTGGCTTATAAACAAATTTCACAGTTCAGGAGGCTGGGCAGTCCAAGATCAAGATACCTGTATTGAGTATCTGGTGAGGACCAACTTCTTAGTACATAGACTCCTAGTTCATGGACTCAGCTGCATCCTTTCTGGCAGAAAGACCTTTTATAAGGGCACTAATCCCTTTCATGGGGATTCTGCTCTCATACCTAATCAACTTCCCAAAGTCCTCACCCTCTTAGTATCACAGTAGGGATTTTTAACATGAAACCTGAGGGACAGTCTATAGCATGTGCCAAGTACTATGCTAGAAACAGTGTTACATGGAAATAACCTGGAAGCATCACAACACTTCAGTGATAACGGCAGTTGAGAGATTTAACAGATATCCCTGTTCTTACTAATCTGACAAAGGGTCATATATAAAGGGGCAATATCCCACTTAGAGAAATCATTTGTCAGGGTTCATCTCTACTAGTATAACTACTACTTTTAAGACTTAAGCTTGTAAGATATTTTTCATACCGTTAAGAAATTGATAGCATTAGTCCCCTTTAATTTTCTGGGTATTATAAGCTTTCTAAAAGCAATCTCATTAGTGGCATCTTTACTAGGAAAGGGGGCATCTCCCTTTAAATTCCCTTTAAGCTAGTTGATAGATGTCAGCCATTGCTGAGGAACAGTTAGAACCACTTGGGTCTGAGCCATTGGGGAGAATTTTTACCTGCTCACCCACTGAGCAGTTCAGCTGTTCTTGTCCCATCTTGGGCCCAAGCCTGAAACTATCGGAAGCAAAGAAAATTTTGTGTATTTCAGGGGCATTAAAAATTTTAAAAGCAAAATGCATCACTATTACCTAATCAGGGTTGTTATGGTTACCTGAAAAGCTTATTTCAGTAGTTTTCTGGAGCTCCATGATAAGAGCATGAGGTTCTTCCCAAGTTCTTCCTTTGCCTTCCCAAACTTTAGGTAATACCAGCTGGGACAATTGATGGAATATTTGCTGCGTGTCAGAGTGGGTCTTTTGATAAACTAGAAGCTGTGGTAAAAGTAAGTCACTTTCAGGTAACTTTGGGGAAGGAAAAAATTATGATCCTACTAAATTCAACTCTTTCTGTTGCAGGACTTAATTGATGAGGGCCATGCAGCAACTCAGCTTGTAAATCAATTTCATGATGTGGTCGTAGAAAATGATAACCTTTCTGATAAACAGAAATCCATTATCACAGAAAAACTTGCTGTAAGTAGGCACTTCACATTTCAGCAAAATGTGTTAAATACAACTCCATGGCAAATTTTCCTAACTTTTAGTTTTCTTATAGGAAGTAGATAAATGCTTAGCAGATGGTGCTGATGAACATCTACAACTCATCAGCCTCTGTGCAACGGTGATGCAGCAGTTAACTCAGAATTGCTGAAAGGATCATTTTTCTAAGATACAATTTTGTAAGCTACTCAAGTTTAAGTATGATCTGATAAAAATAAAATGACCAAAGCACCTTTAAAGTGAATATACAATTTATTTAACATTCAAACTTCATTAAGACATGTGCAATATGGCAATTTTACTGGGGATTTAACCCTACCTAGGATATGATTGCTTGCTGGGGCTTAGCAACAGGGTCCAGTTCACACTTAGCACTAATTAAATACTTTATTGAATAAATACAATACCAAACAAAATGCATTCAAATGCTTTCTAAAAAAAAAAAAAAAAATCAATTTTAAAGGCCTTTCTATTCAGGCTAATAACAAACACAATAAAGGCAGATATGCTAGTTTAACATAATTGGCTGATTTTATACAGCACTTATATCTTTTAGTCCACAAGTATATTATTAAATGATAGAGAACATCTAATACAACCATTTCTACAGAACTAGGAAATAAATTTCTAAGAAAGAAAGATTTTACAGACCCCATCTTTTATACCCAACCCCAACAGTCTAACTCTAAAGAGGATAAAGCCAATGCCTTTCCTCACAAGAGCTCACGACTAAAGTCGCTTTGCTATCAAAATCTGTATTTCTGATCCGTTATGAGCATTGAGACAAGATTCAAATATTCCCAAAGAAAGAAGCACAATGCACATTGTGATCGCCTATTCAGCAACAGCAAGCACTGCATTCAAAACTATCTCATCCCAGGAATTAAATAAGGTCAGCCACATTCATTGGCATTTCCTCCACTGTAGTATTGTAGAAAGTCTCAATGTCACGAAGAATCCTCTTGTCTTCTTCAGTAACAAAGTTTATAGCCACACCTTTCCTCCCAAATCGACCCCCTCTGCCAATTCTGTGTAAGAAAAAGAAATCAGAGCAATTAGAATGTTACTTCTCGAGTATGAATGAACTACTGAACATGATGATCCACTTGTTAACCATCAGCTGCTGTTTACTTAATAGGGTTATAGTTCGTGCTTCTAATTGGAGCGCACTAGCTGCTAATCAATATCTAGAGAAAAAAATCTTCCTTTGCAGTTAGTGCCAAAAGGATTCAAGGCTTGTCTGGCTGCAAAATGAGATTTTATCAGGTGTCTTGAGCATTACTTTTAAAGCAGATGACAGTATTGTGTTTGGGGTAATGCAATTAAAGCCCATACCAAAGTGGGCCAGCCAAGAGCAGATGTCAGCCTGGGACAGATGTAAACACCAGGGATAAAACAAAAAAGAACAGTTATGTAAATCCATTTCGACGCACCTCTGGAACTGTAAACTGTAAATACAAATGCTGCAAGGTTAACTATTGTCTAAAACTTACAACTTTTTCCAGTGGGAAAACAAGTATTTGGTATGGTAACCCAAACTTATCACTGCTTTTTTGCTCAGTTTCACACGTTGTAACTCAAAATTAACTCAAACGTGTTTACCTCCAGAACAGCTTTCTACCTTCCTGATAGAAACCAGACAACACAAACCGCCTAAGAGACTAACATACAAAAATGCCTTGGCTGGAACAACTTAAAAATATCAAATAATCATGACAAAAGAAAAACAAATATAAATACCGACTCGCTCTTTATTCAAACAGTGTGCTGTTTCGCTTATGATTCCACGTCCTAAATTACGTCAACGCCGTTTCTGAGCGCCATCTCGTCATCAACTGCTGCTATCGACTCCTGTATTTTTTAAAAAGTCTTTTTTTACATCATATAACAAAGTACAGTTCAATTTACTTAGGGATAAAGCCACTATAACTAAACCAGGGTCTGCTCAAATTGCTACCAGACAACACCAAGAAAATCCCAACTACAGAGGAATCACCAAGAAAGCACATGGACACAAGAACTTCACTAAAAACTCAAAAGTAAGCTAAGACCAACAGATCTAAACCACCTGATCTGTATGTAGTAAGTCCACAATTTGGGCAACATTTACAACTGTTTTCCCACTGTAGATGACCAATCTTCCCAAGTACAATTTTAGTTACATCTTACCAAGTTACTAAGTCTTTTGTCTTTTTGCTTTCCTGATACGAAGTTACCTTTCAAACAAATCAATCCGTAGAAAAGCCACACATGAATTCATTTTACCAATACAGTAACAGCCAAAATGCCACCTACTCACCTGTGAATATAGTTTTCACGATTGGTAGGTAGATCATAGTTTATAACCAATGACACTTGTTGCACATCAATCCCACGAGCCTGAAAACACAATGGTATGGTGTTCAAATTCTAATTTAAAAAACTAGACAGCTATTAATGTAGGCCACAAAATAGTAGTGAACTATGGTAAGTGGTATAGCCCACTGTGGAGTGTGGTCTTGTCTTTACTCTCCCAAAGAGCCCAAGCTGGTAAAGGTTATCAAAAAACCTTCCCCCCAAAACAAACTTTTGGTAGATTAAAAACGTACAGTGGGAGACTTACCAACAAGTCAGTAGTGATCAAAACACGGCTTGACCCTGATCGGAATTCCCTCATGATAACATCTCTTTCCTTCTGGTCCATGTCACCATGCTGCAAATTAACAAACCTTAATTCAAGTATCACCAGTCAAATCAACTATTTAATTTTATTGACATGTATGAGACCAAGCGTCCCTGGCTGCTACAGGGGTATAGCAGACAGGTATAGTTAAGAAACAACTTTATTTTGAGCAGGGGGAACGACAACACAGCACTTAACAGCTATATTGTAGTCTAAATCCTGCTTTAATGAAAATACAATTATCACTACTAGAACACCTCTTACCAGAGCAGAAACTGTGAAGTCCCTGGCATGCATTTTCTCAGTGAGCCAGTCCACCTTGCGCCTTGTATTGAGAAAAATAACAGCCTGAGTAATCGTCAGTGTCTCGTACAAGTCACAAAGTGTATCCAACTTCCATTCCTACAATTTTTCAAAGTTAACAGTTATTAAAATCTAGTTTCCAACTCATGTTCATTAGAAATTCATTCTGTTAGGCCTATCCAAGACATATTGCACCAAATCTTAAGACAAAGGACACTGGACATTAAGAAAGAGGTCCACCCCAGTCTTCACAATCTAGTGCAGTTACTTTTCTTCCTGTGTGTACTCTGCTAGCATTATTACAAAAACTAAGGCAATCCTAGTTTCTGCAATTTTAGCACAGTGCTTATACAAGAAGGCTAAAAAATGAACATCTTAATGTTAAGTAATTAGACAAATTACCTCTCTTTCAACATTAATATAAAACTGTTTGATTCCTTCAAGGGTCAATTCTTCCTTTTTCACCAGAATTCGAATTGGATCTCTCATGAATTTTTTGGTCACTTCCAACACATCAGTTGGCATTGTGGCAGAAAGCAACACAACCTTAAAAAGACAATGATCATGTGGTCACACAAACAGCACAACTTTCACAACACTCAAACTGAGACCTAGTGTCTTTGCCTCACTACAAAATCGTGTATAGTTATGCACCAATTGCTTTAAGCAGGGGGGAAGGACAAATCCATTAGTACACCTACATTAAACCTAAGCCCCAACCTACTACAGGACAGAGAGTAAAATTAAAGCTCACCTGAATACTTGTATTTAATTTTTGGAAAATCTCATAGATTTGATCCTTAAACCCTCGGCTCAACATTTCATCTGCTTCATCCAAAACAAACATTTTGATCCATTTTGGAGCTGACAAAGCAAGCCATACATACTATCAGCTCTAGATGCACAGGGATACTATTTAAGTAACAATTATACTCTCATTGGACAGCAATACTTACAAAGGTATCTTCTGTTTAACATATCAAATACTCTCCCTGGTGTACCAACAACAATGTGTGGTGCTTCAGCCTACAGTTTTTGCATTTCATTCCGAACATTGGTTCCACCAATGCAGGCATGACAAGTTGCTCCCATATAGTCTCCAAGTGCCAGAATTACCTTTTGGATCTAAAAGCCAAAACCCTTTAATTATTATCCAGTAGAATTACAGGCTCTGTGCCTAAACTTCCAAAGCATATGGCAAATATCTGGTCTGCAAATAGCTTCTATGCATGCACAATACTTAACTCCAAGCTTAAAATGCAGACTGATCTAACTGCTTCATGATAAAATGCCCTTAACATGTCTTCCTTGTGCCTTGTCAAACTTGGGATCCTGTTGCCCCAGATACCAGCTAGGTTAGTTAAATGATTTTAGTTAAATCATTTCCTACATTGCTTTTCATTGTGTAGGAAGGTGTAAATAGTGGAACTCTGCCATTACATCTAGGACAACTTGTTGATACTTTAGTTTTTCCCAAAATACTGGACCTTATGTCCTCTTGACCTTAATAAAACCTAATTTCATTAGCAAGGTTTTACTTCAAAGCCAATATAGCAGTGAGCTTTGAAAACATAGCATGCAACAGATGCATCACAAACTACTGAGACAGTCAAATGATAACATGTCACTGCAGTTTTCATGTTGCACAACTGCATTCAAACTTAAAAATGGGAACAGATCTAGTCCACCCTGAAAAGCTTTGGTTTCTCAAATCTGTTACACAACCCTGCCAACCAGTACCTGCACACCCAGTTCCTATTTTTAACTTTCAACAAAAACTCCCTGCATGCATGGACAATTAAAAAGGAGGGCTCTTACTGATAGGACCAATTTACACTAACTTTTAAATTCTTCACAGTTGTGAAACCTGAAACCTATGCAACACGCAAGCAGTTTTTTTGAACTACACTATCAATACCTGTTGAGCCAGTTCTCTGGTGGGGGCCAATACTAGTGCTTGGGTCTCCTTGAACTCAATCTCCAACTGTTGCAGGATGGAAATAGCAAATGTGGCTGTCTTGCCAGTACCTGACTGAGCTTGAGCAATCACATCATACCCTAAAAAAAGTAGGATACATATTTACCGATCCCACATCAAACCGCCACTTCTAGTTCACACCATGTATTCCGTTTGGAACATTAATTATGCCCAAATAATCAAGTGATCAGCAATGAGTATTCTCTTCATTTCAGGTCAGTCCCGAAAGATGATTGCCATCATTTCACTTTAAGGAATACAAACAGGTGCTAGTCCCCCAGAAGTTATTTTCCCTTTTACGGTCCAGGTCTTTCTAGAACAGTTAATTCATTTTTAAAAAGTGATAACTAGTTCTTTTACCTTTAATACAAGGAATAATAGCTCTCTGTTGAATAGCTGAAGGCTTCTCAAAACCATAAGCATAGATGCCCCGAAGAAGAGACTCCTTTAAATTCATATCGTCAAAGTTATCAACAATCTCATTCCAGTTGCTCTGTAAATTACATATAAAAGAAACTGAATAAATGGGATGAACAAGCTCACCTTTCCAACGTCTCAAAATCAACAACCATTTCTTACCTCGATGACACCATCAGGGTCCATTCCCTCTGGGCCTCCATGTTCTCTGCTGACAAGAATACTGCAGTTAGAGAACATCCCTTTCCCCAGCCATCCTTTACTACACATTAGGGGAGAGCCCTGTTATATAGCCGGTCTCGTCTGGCCACTCTCCCCTGCACGTGTACACCCCCAAGGCAGTCAAGGAAGCTGGCGCTGCAGGGCACGGAATGTTCGGTGCGCGCCTGCCCGAAGACCGGCAACAGGGGACGCCCAGGAAAGGCCCCACGGACGCCGGCCCTTCCCCCAGGCCCGAGCGCCAGGCGCTCCCATCTCGGCGGCAGACCGTCTCGCGAGAGCTCCACGCGCTGAGCTCCGCCCCTTACACTGCGCAAGCCGCGGTGATTGACGCGGGCCGAGGCCTGGCGAGAGCGATGCCAACGGTTCGCACGGACCCCGTTGCCGGCGCGGTCCCATCCGCCTTGTGGCCTTGGCGAGCGGGCGCCGCTGTCACCCTCCCCCCACCCCACCTAAAGTCGAGCACTGCAACTCGCGCCTTCCGCCGCAAATAAAGCTTCGGGCCCCATTGCACTGTCTCGACTGCTGACTGCGCCACCGCTTTAACTATACCTGCTCCGTACGGGCAGGGGAAGCGGCCGGGATTTCAAAGCGTCTTGGGGAGAAAAAAAAAAGACACCCTCCAACCACTCCGTTTTTGTACCCTTGCCTCCCGGCAATCCAGGCCCTACCCATCATGGAAGCTTCTCGAAGGGCAGAGGGGTGCTAAACCCCAAGGAAACGCCTATGAACCCAGAGCTCCCTGCCTCCACGCCGTCCGTTACCATCTCCGCCGGTGCCATATGACCTTCACCACAAAACACCACTGCCGAGAAAGCGCCATACCTGTTATAATCCGCGGAGCCACCAGACATGATCCGAAAAACCACTCAGCGCCCGACTGGAAAGACAGCGGTACCGCGCCACCCGTTTTTTATAGGCTCGTGGCCGGAACCCGTTTTCTGCGGAGGAATTTTCTCGTCGCTCTTCGGTCATCCACCAAATTGTGATCCTGGGGTCCTTAGCTCAGAAAATATCCTAAGCGAGTGGCTGGGAAAATCCAAATTTGGTTATTTCTCGATCTTACAGGGCCGCTGGAAATCCCAGGGCCTTGGGGGAGGGTTGGGACTCTTTGCCTTGCGGCGGAAGAATATTGCAGCAAGCGGTAGCCAAACCGCGCTCCCCGCCCGCCCCTCTCCTACGGGGTTTCCGCGTCCCTGAAGCAGAGGCGGCCGGGGGAGCCGAGCGGGACCGGGAGGCGGAAGCCTGGGGCGGCTGCGTGCTGGGCGGCCGGCGCTTCACCGCGGGCCAGTTGGGCCGAGCTCGCCGTCCGCCGCCGGCGCTCGGGGCCCGCGGCGGAGGCACGGCCGCGCTCTGCACTGGGGGGTCAATGGGGTTATTCCGCCGGCTCCCACCGCTGTTTAATTCGACGGTAAAGAGCTGCCTGGCCTTTAGCTGAGCGTTTAACATCTATTCAGATCTTAAAAGTGTGAAACTTCCTGCTAGGGAAAATGTCGGCCACCTAGCATGTCCCAGGAAATCCGGTGCACCGTAGTACGTTGTGCCAAGCGAGGAAAAAATGTGTAGTGTCCTTTGCAAATGTCTCTGGCGTAGCCAACTCTGTTCTCATGTTGCCTCTGGTCTTCTCTCGCTCTCTTTTTTAAAATAATACTAATAATTTTTACGTGTGGGGAATGCCCGATAAGATCGTTGTGAACTTTTGCAAACGGTTAACTGCTAAGGAGTAATTTTCCTTGTAATGCAGGAATTTAAATGGACGCTTCCGGCAGATATAGCTCCATGCCCCTTTGGGACTAGATAGATTGTGATTCTGGTCTATACTGCTCATTTTTTTCCAAAAGGCTTTGAACTTTAATTGCTTAATACCTAATGCATGTTGATTTAATGGAGATTGAGAGCAATATAACCCTTGCTGCTTAAATAAACGGCACGATTCTCCCCAGAGGTTTTCAACTGTAGCTGTGACCCAGGCCTGGGTTAGGCCCGATGCATTTAGTCATTTAACTTTAAAATACTACCCACACTGCAAGATATTATCAGGGAAACATTTTCTCATTAATTCAGACGGCCACCTAAAAGTTGACGTAATTTTTTAATCTGTGTATGATAGTTGATTCTAAACACATTTTCTTCAAAAAATGTATTTGAAAATTATTATTGTGCCAGGAAGTCTGACAAAAACGAATACCAAGATGACAAAGTAGACGTGGGTCGCATTTTAGGGATGCTGCTCCTTATCCATCCCCCTGTAATAATGTTCAAATTCAGATTTGAGATAACGCCAGATATTTTCTGAGAATGGAGGTCAAAGATCCTTATTGTCTCATCTAAAACCTACAACAACTCTCCTGGGATCTGAGAAACGGAAGGAAATACTAAATCAGAAAAATGACTAACCATTTAGTCTCACTGGAGTCTTTAGGGTGAAACCAATCAATCACAGGGTGAAATCAATCAACAATTAACACCTAATTGTTGACCTTTTTTTAGGTTTAGCACTACTGTTACATGCTGTGGAGGATTTCCAGAATCTCTTAAAAGGAAATAAACAAGGGCTAAATTCTTGTTTAGGTCACAGTTGCTGAAGGGGTTTCAAGGTAAAAAAGCTTCCTAATAAAAAATCCAGAGTCAAAATCCAAACCCACAGCGCCTGCAACCCTACAATGTAATTTTTTTTTTTTTTGGGGGGGGAGAGAGGTAGAGAGAGAGCCAGAGAGAGAGCACAAGCAGGGGGAGGGGCAGAGGC